AAATCAACCCTGCAGTACCAGCACATTGAAGCCAAGCCAATTTCAGTGTGCATGTCGCTGCACTGTTCAGTATGGCAGATGGAATTCCTGGCCAGGCTTTTTTAAATTCTTCACAAACATTTACAGATCAGGGTCATAGATCGGTAAATAAATGCCTCTTTATTTACATTTTTTCTTGCTCATCGCTTTGAGATAAATCTCAGCAAGGCTTGATAAAAGCCAATGATTTGTGACTTAATGATTGGAACATTAACTGTTGTCCTTGTGAATAAAACAGCAAGGACTTTATGATGGCCGGCATGTGATACTGTCATTTAGGTCTCACTGAGATGAGAAGGAGATGAGAAAGTTATTCTGGCAGATTTTACACAACTGCAAACCTTCAAAAGTGAACCCCCCTGAGCTTACCTGTATCGCTTCACAACTGCACCCCCGCTATGCTGCCAAGCTAGGTGCCACTTAAAGGTCATTTTCCCCATGTCTAATTTTACCCTTGGGTACGCTCGAGTAGAGCGTATAAGAGCAGCCATCATTTTAAACACTTGTTTCAGGTGCTATTTCTTTCTCAGTTTATGTGCCTTCATTCTGAGGTGATGGAGTGCTAATGAACAGACAGGCAGATGCAATTTGACTGAGGTCTTATGAGGTTTTCTCGAAGGCCACATTACTTTGCCTGAACCCATCTCGAGTCCAAGCGGGGCAAGGTGCACTGCCAGACTCATGGGTGACAAATGAGCCGCATCAGCAGGTGTATCAGTTAATCTAAGGAAATAGAGAAGATCCCCATGTGCCATCAGGTGGCTATTATGATAGACGCTACTGAGACTAAATGAAAGCTAATGAGCTGTAATGAATGTTAATCCTTAGGACCAAACATGGCTCTTTCAGCACTGTGCTAAATGCGGTGTTAATCCTTTAAGTAGTGGTCACTTCATATCTTTGTTTAGTTATGAAATTACATTTTGCAGTAAGTATCAGAACTTTGGCGAAAGTATTTCTGTGTCAAATGCATAACTGACTGACATAATCAAATAGGCTACTTATTTAACTCTCTTGTTTCACTTTTCCAGTAGTGAAAGAAAAACTGAGGACTGTTGATATAGGGTCTCCAAATTACTCCCAAAGTCTGCGTGAATGCAGCCTGTGGGGAGCCAATCAACAGATCCATGCAAGAGGAAATAACAAAGCCCAGAGCTAGAGGTGTTAGATCACAGGAGGAAACACAGTGCACCATGGTACTGCTGTCTCATGACTCACTCCTGATATAGCAGGCCGAAGCTGCCTGAACTCCTCCAACTCTGTCACCTTGCTGTAGGACCCAGCCATGGTCTCGTACAGTATACAACCCAAGTGCCACGTCGAGAGCTCTCTCTTCCATCAACATGCTATGTTATCTACACTTTCAACTTTTTGACCCTGAACAAAGGAGGATTTAAAATATGAAAATAACTCACCATAATGCTCACACAATGGCTTGTTGGGAAAAAGCCATGTCAACCAGAGACTTTTGCCTACCAGGCGAGAGCATTCTTCACACCTGTCTGCAAGGATAAGTGGGCTTGTCACAAGCAGAGCTAATCTGTTGCAACGCTCAGTCACACTCAATCCACCAGTGGTGCTCTCCACTTGCCCTTGAATGTCTGCTGGCATTGGAAGCATACTTGTGCCGTTGATCAGTCTAACCATGGTGGAAAACATGTCAATGAACGGCAGCAGCATCTCTTCTCAGGGCCGACAGCTAATACAACTTTTGCCCTTTACAGTTGACACTTATTCATGGCCGCCAGGTATATCATGATCAAGATCTACCTAAGATAGACAAAAGTGTCATTTGTGTGGATCATTAGCTAATGCACACCATTCACAAACGATGAGCTTCAAGCTGTCCCTCAAAAAGAGAAATGATTGCAATCAAAATAGTAGTTTATCTCTGAAGCCATCAACACTGAATGAGACTCAAGGGAGAGGAAGAGTCAGGAGAGCGATCAGAGACATTAGAGCACTGTGTTATAACTTGGACAGTTTTCAGAATAGGAAGTGGGCGAACTAATGGGCAATCTCTTCCCTGTTCACTGGTGGAGAGGATGGCAAACGTGCAGCATTCTCATTATAACGTTGATTATTGTGTAAATACTGGATAATACAATTAGTAACAACAATAAGAGGGAAATAGAAGTGGTGCATTCAAAAAAGTATTTTTGGTCATTATGATACTAATGTAAAGGAGTTCCAAACGTTTTCTTACATTACCCTGTTGCAAAGAATTCAGTAAAAGTGAAAAATCCCTAGAAATAGATCCAACATTTTAAAACTTGAATTGGAGAATGTGCAAATCACTGGCAGGGCCTTTTAGAATAGAATCGCATTCGCTAGTTGTATTTACAGTTTTTTAAAGGACGGACACACTCACACTGAGGAACCCCAAAGAACTATTTTAGGTTTATATTGGGCTTATCTGACATTGAGAAATTGCTACAAAAGTAGTCTGTAGCATGGATTGTGCTGTGTCATCTTATTAATTCTCCCTGTCCTTCACGGATCAGCAAGAAACAACCTGTTTATACAATGAGGAAAAACATTCCCTTTTGGTTCACGCCCAGAGAAGTGAGGCTGTCATCGAATACGGATTTGATAAGATGAGACAAGGTGATTATGATAAACTTCAATAGCAGCAACATTTATTTTTCCATGTCTTTCCCTTTTGATGTATACGATGGATAGAGAGTTGCTCTCCACTGTGGACACTTCTTCTAGCTTAGGAGCAAAGTTATTTTTGTGAAAATATCCCTTTGACTGGCCAAGATCAAAGGGTGGAAATAATGAAGAGGCATTGTCGTTGTACTTTTTTTTTTTAAATGTCTTTTTAAAGCTGGTTCACTCTCAAAGCTGAAGAATGCAATTATTTTTTAAAACCAAAATGCTCTTGAAAAAAGGAGTATAGTGAGGTAGAGAAAAGTTGAACAGCCAAATGGGACACGAGGGGCGGCGCATGTCAAATCCATTGTGGTAAACATCAAAAGCGGTTATAAGGCAAATGTTGACACCTGTCATTATAGATACAGAATCTAATTAGTTGTGTCTTTTGTTTCAAATAAATATTCACAAAAATCCAGATGAATATTCTTATAACCACTGATGTATATGCTCATACCTTTTGATCATGAGATCTTATACCCATATATTGTTTCAATTTATAATGAGTGTTCATTAAATGTGCTCTTCTGTATGCTTCTGTCAAACTCTTCAGAAGACCTTTATATTGTAGAACAAACCCTACACTGTTCCTCCATGAACACAATGTGAACTAATAGGAACAAAGAGAAAAACATACATAATAACAGGATTGTGTGCATCTAGCTAATAAAGCAGTCTTTCTCGCTCACATACACTTACTATGAACTGTAGTCAAACTATGAAAAGGTGTTCAAGATATATTATCAAACATAAACATCGCCTTTATCATCCAGGTGCTAAATATACTGTGTGCACGTTTACCTTGCTAACACTTTCTACTTTTTTTCGTGCATTTAACCTTCAAAATAATATGCCAACCATTCAGATTCAGTATTTAATAACATAGCTTAGAAATACCTGTGAGATAAAAAAAAATGTGATAAATCAATTCTCACAGCATGCTAAACAATAGTAAAGGTCATACACAGAACAAAATGGTCCATATTGCTTCAGAGTGCAGGATTCGAGCTGTTTCGCTATATCCTCTCCACAAGAGTGTTTCATCACTGGGGCTGAGGGCAAGGAGCAGCAGCAGAGTGCAACACTGTAAAGCTCTCTGAATACTATCCAGTCATCAGTGGGAAAACAATGCAGCCCTACAGCTCTTTACGTGTCAGTTGTTATTGTTAGTTTGTCCAGTGTAAATGCATACATCTTTATGTCAACATGACTGAACCCAACTGTAATCCCTCAAAGAGTTGTATCTTTGCCCAAATCCACGGGAACCAGAGTGCTTTCATATCCAAATGTTAGCGTTGAGTGTTTAAATTTCACAAAACGCAACAAAGGGGGCTTAAGCAGAAATGATGACTGGTGCAGAAACACACAGAGAGACGTGCCAGGGGGACAGAGTGATACCAGGGGGCTGACGTGTTTGCAGAATATGCCCCGTTGAATGGCACCGTTTCAGAACAGAAGTGGGTACAGCCTTTGGCAGAATCTGCTGAGTCAATTAAAGAGTTGTTTCTATCTGGGTGATTTAGATGCACAATAAAACAGTCGTGCTGCTTTGATAGACAGTAGTAAATGTTGGAAATGTACTCTGTTCATTCACCACTTTGCTGTAAAACATGTAATGATCTGAGAGCTTAACTATGATTCTGTAGATATTAACATATACGTTTATCGTCAGATTCTTCTGAATTACGCAAATCTCTCTATCCTTCTGTAACTCACCTATAATTTAAGTTAAATGACGAATATCATAACACTGATGAGCAGTAGATTAGACAGATAATATGGCGTATACTTCAGGAAAAGTCTACAAACATTTCCAGCTCCCAAATTTATTGGAAAGACACTTAAGTTATTCAGTGTGCTGCAAGGAATGAGTGGGTGGCATTTTAATTGAAAGTCTCAAGTAGTTTTTCTGATTGTCAAAGGATGTCAAATAAGTGTTTTATGAAAAAGGGAACTTTGGGTTGTTTGCTTGTCTCAGATTTTAGCTTGCTAACACATTTGATGCTGAAAAAGCCTTAAGATTCAGCTTCTACTTTGTTTGTAGTCGCTTCACTGTGTTACTGCATGCTCTTCTATTAGGCAGGGAAGCTAATCCTATTAGCTAACATCTACTTTTATCTTCAGCAACCTTGAGGCATGATGTCTGCACTCTCATTCAACAATAAACTGGGATATTGATCCACACACACAGAGAAGAAATTGCACACGCTCACTTGCATAAATCCAGTAGTTGTAACGATGAACAAATGTAAAAAGCTAGTGATCTCAGTACATTTGTGGTAATCATACCTCTGTCTATTTTGCAGCCAATCCCACCGGCCCTGGGCTGAAGGGCTACCCCGGCACGCAGGAGGTCTTCCGGGAGTCCAGCAGCACGACGGGCATGGTGGTGGGCATCGTAGCAGCAGCAGCGCTATGCATCCTCATCCTGCTCTACGCCATGTACAAATACCGGAACAGAGACGAAGGTTCGTACCACGTGGACGAGAGTCGCAACTACATCAGCAACTCGGCGCAGTCCAACGGCACCGTGGTCAAAGAGAAACCAGTGAACACCGCAAAAACCTCAAACAAGAGTAAGAAGAATAAGGACAAGGAGTACTACGTGTGATTGTCAAAGCTTTGGTCTCTGACGGACCAACTTAAACATTTAAAGAAAAGACAAATCAGGACATCAACATGTGTACAGTATAATAACAAAGATGAACATTATTTAGTCATTTTTTTTCCTATAAGACAATGCTCTGAAAAAGTATGAAAAAAAAAAACATTCTTTAGACACAAGCACTCGAGAGAGAAAAGATTTACTGTCCAGAGAGAGACTGATGGAAAAATGTCTCTGGCGACCAGTTGAAACTGAACTGAATACATATCTAACACGACAACAAAACAACATTAACCCATCTGTGTTCCTTGGCCAGGACGGTGATCCAACTCCCTTGTTTCTGGTAAACAGAGGAGCTGATGCACTTTGCAAAGGCAGATTCATCGCGACAAACTCAATGTTTTCATCTACATTGCCTGTGTTTGTGTTATTGAGACTTTTTTCTAGAGAAAATGACACAAAGCTTATACTACATACATAAGTACGCCAAACATTTACTGTGGATGAAGAGAAGAAAAAAAAAACAGGTAACAGTGATATCAGAGAGACAAAACATCCACACATGACATGCGGGGATTCAGCCAAAGCACTCACTGAAGAGGCAGTGAAGGCCGGCTAAGACTAATACCTGGATGACGGAGCTGCCGCAGTGCGAAGCTGAGAATGGAGGACAGTTTCTCCTGAAAGACTATGTTTGAAAAGAAGAATATTTTCATTGTGCCAGTGAAAAATCAAAGGAGAGAGTTTCCCCAGAATCAGGGGGATGTCTCTAAAGTGATGATTTGGGAGCCATGCACGCAAAACTATCTTATTACAGTACATATGTTTATATACAGTACAACACATCTATATGTGCTTTCTGGACTGTGACAAAGTGGTGTTTTATAGCCTGTTGTATAGATGATGCAAACTATAACTGCTCCTCAACCATTTTGGAATAAAAGGAAAAAAAAGCACAAAAATAAGACATAAGTGTTATTAAGTGTTGCTAGACATAGAAGATTTTATTAAGACATCTGCATTTATTTTCCGTTTGAAAATGATTTGATTCTGCCCTGTTTTTACATGTGTTCCTATATAGTTTTATACAAATGCCAACCTGAGATAGATGATCCCAGACCAGTAGTAGCCTAACCGTTCCCAAAAACTGCACAAGGCGTGGATATGCGGAGAGGCGTGGCATGACAACTTGTGTGGCTCTCTTTAAGGAAATCGGTAGAATCACTGCCTTCCTCCTCAATCCTGACTTAAAGAAGCAAGAATGAAGAGCAAGCATTTGAGTGGAGATGATGACAATGATTGAAATAAATTAACTTGCTGTGTGTGTTTCCAAGTGGTATTATAAGATTGTCTAATGTGTGCTTGGGCTGATGCAAAACCAGAGGAGAATAGCTCAAAAAGAAGTCTCCATTTCAACTGTTCTGTGTTTGTTCTGTCATTCTGTCAGTCGATTCTGCTTTCCGGAGACCTGTACTTGGAATGAGTTTGAGGAAAAGTGACCATGAACTATAAATGATGATTATAAATTCTCTTTGTTTGCTCCTTTTATTTATTCTTGGATGTTTTATGTTCAAGTGTAAATCTTCTTGTACTCTCCGTGAAAAAGAAAAAAAAGAATTATAAAAAACTAGTTTTGGAAAATCAAATGAATAAAATGCTATCGAAGTGAATTTAAACCAGTCTATTAACCACTTATATCAGAGGAGAGCAGTTGTCATGATTTTTTTTTTTTCGTCAAGCAAACGCATCAATAAAAAAGAACTCCAAAACACGAGGACAACCTTACCCATAATGCAACTCTGTAATTATTGTCAAATGCTAATATTAAGTAAAGAGGCAAGTGCACACGTCATAAAATCAAATACATACACAACTATGGTATAAAGCAGCACAATAATAATGAGTGAACATATAAGAGAGACTAAACTAGCAGCCAGTAATTTTAGTTTTTTTTTTAAGGCTTCATATTTTATTTTGTTGGCAGTATTGGCTCTTGGTGTCATGGTCAGACATTAAACCCAGTCACTGTACATAGTTAATTTATGAAAAGGCTATAGACAAATATCATCTTTCCTCAAAGGTATATTTGTTATAATTGTATGACATTGTATCAAATACAAATACAAATAGTTGTAGGGCGATGTGAAGCTCTGTGGTGCTTTAAATCCTAAAAACCCTTGAATACACCTATTCAGACACCATGTTGGTTTTAATCTCTATCAAAAGAGAGTGCGCTTTATCACATGAGGCATCTCTACACGCGTCTGAGTAAATTAACTTAGAGCACTAAGCAATTACTTTCACAAACATGTCAACCTCACAGTGTACATTTTACTCAAAAAGCCTAGTTATACCCTTACCAAGGATCAGATACAACCCTTAACAGAGCAGCTCTCGACACACACGCTAAATCTTATAAAAATCTATAGTTCAGTTGGAAGCTTAACTTCTTACTTTACGCGCTATATTAAGTCTTTGATTTCCAGATAGTGGAGGTAAACGGGAATAAATGTGCAAAGGCTTGACAGAATATGAGCCGGAGTTGAACGCTTGCAGCTAACAGATGGTTTTCTCAAGAGAGGCTACACGAATTCTGCAGCTTTTCATCCACTGCTCAAGCAGCTTCGTAATGTGATGATGTGTAATGTGTGATATGTTACTGATCTCCATATGGATATTACTCGTTTCAGTAGGCTAAGGCTTGCTCAAGGACACCTCAGCAGGGTAGGTGCTCACTAATATCACACATTGAGCTGCTTCAGACTAAAAATAGCACTGTGAAAAAAAATGCAAGGAGAAACGCGGCTGTGCTGCTCTCAGTAGGCTACAGGTGCGAAAACCAAATGCAATGCGGGAATTCCAATATAAACTATGCTCACATGGACATGAAAATGGTAAGACTAATAAGCAAGAATTACATTTTTAGCACCACCCTAAGGCTACATTTAAAAAATAAAAAGTACAAAAATCCCATTAACTGAGAGATTGATTCAAATAGGCGAAATTACAGCACAGACAAAAACTTCTTTAGGCCTATAGTTCATTCATCATGGAGACAATGTTTTCTTTCCCTATGTTGACAATTCCTGGGTTAACAATAACCATATATTTGTTCAATCTAACAAGAATGTGTGCCTAAACAAATAAGGCAGTGTTAAGCCAGATTAATAATGCTTGCAAAAATATGATCTGGTTCAACTTCCTATCCCTGCTGTGTTGATGCAGTCTCATTGAAATAAATGAGGAATAGTATGTTCAGCCTACACAAAGCCTTACATATTGCAGTGATCCATGAAATGCAGGAACACAATGGCACAAGGCCAATCCTGCCCTGCTGACTCTCAGGCTGCAGACACACACTAATGTGATTTTCTGCTTGTACGGATGCAACTTCTGACAGTTTGCACATGTGTTATCATGGAAATGTTGCCATAACAACATCCTTTGCATGAGGAAGCACTGCCAATTGTATTGAGGATAAAAGACGACTATTTGTTCTGCTTCAAATACTCACTAAGACTGTTTACGTATACATGTGACATTAACAAGTGCTGTATAAACATAGAGGCTAAGTTTAGGACAGGTTGGGATGTACAAAAGAGTCCTGTAGAGAAAAGCATGGTATGATACTATAGGACAAGAAAAGGACATACAGAAGGTTACATGAGGTTTTGTCGGAAGTAGGGTAGCAGCACATCACATCAGAGGAACAAAGGCTTGTAGTTTGAAATGAAAACTTAAAAAAAACAACATTTATTTAAGTAAGGACTAAATGGTTTAGTATTTTAGAGGAATTCACAGTGGTCAACCTAAGGCTGTTGCTTGAATACGCAGAGTGGGGTCACAAAAACAATATTAGGAACATAATTATAACTATGGTGGTCAAAGCCTAATGGTTAAATTATTTCATGCTTGTTTTTTTTTTTATGCTTGTTAGGCACAATGAGCACAAAAAGGACATTGAAATATGTCAGCCTAATAATCCTCGAACATCATTATAAACCCAATTACACGTACTCCATCATCAAAGTGAAGTCACAAGAGGAAAACATCCATGAAAAAAGTACATTTTTGGTTGTGTTCTAAATCACATAATTTGTACTGGATTTCACAACGAAAGTAGTTTCTGTCAGCATTGCTACTACTATGCACAATCAATGTTTTTTTCCTTAAAATAATGTGGACTGTTTCACTTGGGCTGCAATAATAATGCAAAGCTAAACCATATATTGTATTGTCATAACAACTTAGGATCACAGTCCAGAAAAAGTCACATATATTGTAGCCAAGACTATTAAATATTAAAAGGACATTAGTGGCTTCATTGCTCCTGCTGCCTCTACACGAGCGTCTTCAACCTCCTGCCACATGGGAGTCACTGAGGTCACACAGGAGCTGTACACATGTCAGTCTGTGAGAGTCATCACATGTCAAATGATGAAGTGCAACTTGTGAGAGAAAAGTTGTCCAGGTGGCAGTTAAGGTGGCTGGTATTGCAGATCCACCACCATCTTACCTCCAGTTTCACATGTACTGTAAATATTAAAAAAAAGCTAATTTTTGAAGGTGGTCCGTTGTTTTTCTGAAAACATATGGAATACCTACGTTGCTGTCTGCTGGGTTCATCTTCTACATGAAAATGTGCACTTCCTGGATTTCTATCTCGACCTCCATATACAACATCAAAGGCTGCAGTGCCCTAGAGGAGGTTCAGAGCTGTCGTCTCTCCTTCCTCCTTGAGGCAGAGTGGGGGGCTTGGCACTGGGAACTCACCGTAGAGCTGTGTTGCTGTCAGTGGAAACCAGAATTGTACTTGAGGGAAGGTCGAGCAGGACACATTTACCTGATCTGGGTTAGGCTACATTCTGCGACTCAATGTCTTTTTCTTTTTTTTCATGTTCCACTTCCTCAGCAGTTTGTCAGTAATACATTATAGAGAATGTGATAGTGCCGTGTACTGTACATGTGATATGACATGCAAGGACACCGTGTTTTCACATGCGTCCAGGTTAGGCTCTTATGCCGTGTTGATGTGATAGTGCTGTCTACATTTATATAGTCTATGATCTCTTTCCAAAACAAAACTATAGTGGGTTTATTCTTTAGTGTTTCATGTGTATTACCCAGGAGGCGCTTAAGCAATAACGTAATGATTGATTTGTATTGAACGGTGTATTTGGCTTTATTCACCGTCAGGATGGCACGGTCTGTTCCAGATGTCAGAGTCCTCATCTGTTTTCAAAATGGTGATTCTGCACTGCACCTTCTTTTTCTGACAAAGCAGCTTGAGATTTTGTACACAAGCACATTTAACTTCCTGGTCACCAATTCTCTTCCATTTCCATCTTTCCCTGATGCCTGGCAGCGCAGTTGTCCTTCCACCTCTTGGTTTACTCTCTGCCCTTCCACTTCCTGCCCCATGACAGCAACATGTCTGTTGTTTGTCTCTCATTTTGTGGCTCTGTTGTGCTACAAGTAAGTGAGCATGCTTTATAAATTCAGAAACATTCCCTGATCTCAGTGGAGGTCTTTATTTGCAGCATCTGGAGTTGTTTCTCTTGCTTTCGGGCGCTGTTCTCTGGGTACCCACCTCAAAATGTGGAAGAAATGGATTTGCACTCAGTCATACAGGTTATCCAAACACATATTTTGACAATTTCAGAGACACAAGAAGAGTTAGTTACTACAGAGATTAATCTCCAAAGCAATAGCTGCTCTCTTAAAGTGAATAAAATATCTGACAGCAGGGGAGAATGAATATTATGTTCTCCCCGGGTGCCACACTGTGTTTTAACCACCTGTAAATGTTGCAAGCAGATTCAATTTACGCACATGTTCTACAACAAACTGGCAAAGCTCTCCTGGTATGACTAACAGTGTATCTTCAATACAACCAGGGTAGAGTGTTTCAAGGCCGAGCCGATCATGCTCCATTAATGTTCTGCCTCTGAGATGTTGGTGAGGAGCATCTCATGCCATCAGCTGGGCAAAATAAAAAATAAATCCACAGGCCCCATGATTTTGTGAAACATGCTCAGACGAGGAATTTTTCTCAAAATAGTTCTGTGCAACGTTTTTATTGGAAAAATGTACGTTCAGAATGAATCGGCAAAAAGCATTTTGTGTCTCTAGACGACTTGAATGAATGTTCTTACTTTTGAAACATCCATAAAGTCTTTTTTATGTTTTGAAGCTCATATAATGGACCCAGACAGACTGTGCTTCAACTGCATTAGAGATCCTTAATGATATATTTTTTATGTGGTTTTCCCCTCAGTGGTTCGATCGTACACTTTTGTTCTTTTCAAGTTGCCAGAAACTCACTCAAGCTTTTTTCCCCTCCTGGGTTACACTGTAGATTTTGTACACAGAAACTCAGGGAATAATGAAATAACAATAACAAGCTCACAGCTTTATTGCCGCACACATCTTCTATGCCAATAGACGAAAAACTCATAGGGTGGGGAGGTATATTTTTAGCACCATGCTTATCCTCTCCTCTCATCCTTCCTCCCCCTGCTTCTCT